TACCATCAAGCTGCCCGTGCACACTCGTGGGGAGGAGGCCGGACCCCGGCACGCACAGGTAGGCAGCCAGCACTGTAAGCTGAGCCCTGCGAAGGGCAGGACTCACACGGCACGCGGCTCAGGTGTCCTTCCACCACCACACAGGGGAAAAAATAGCCTTGCTGATAGCTGTCAGCCTCAGTCACCTTCTTGTTTCTCTGACAGTTTCTGGAAGAGGAGCTTTACGACACGTTTGGGCCCAAACAGCAGGATCTTGTCAGTCTGCCCACAGGGTCAGGAATTAAACAAAACCTGCGTTATTTGTTACTACTGCCTTCCACCCCAAAACCCCAGTCCTGCAAGACAGCAAACACCTCAGGCTGCTTTCCTGAATGGTTTGGCCAGTTACATGACAAGAGCACTTGTGACGTTGCAAAAACAACATTTGTGGCTGGAAAAATCAACATGCACGAGGGACGGAGAGGACAGACAGGTCTGAGGGCACCTACCTGACTGATGAGCTCTGCAGCACTAATTCTAGTCTGCCTAGAGCCTCACCAAACCTCTGCATTGGAAAAGAGACCTCACAGCCACTATGTGAACCTGACCTCACAAGAGCTGTGCTGAAGAGGACTGGCTGTCATATCAGAGCTCACGGGGCTGAGAGTGAGCAGGAACACGTCTGGACTTTTTCTAACCACAAAAAAATTCATCCATCCATGAGATTCTGCTTAAAAAAAACCTGCTGCCAACGCCGCAGACAGAGGGGCACCTTCAGCAGGGCAATGTAAATGCCCTGCCAGTCAACCCATTCCATGGCAAGGAAACATGCGGAGCCTGGTTTCCAATTTTGCCTCCTCCCTGCCCCATGCAGATTACCCGATACCCAGTAATGCAGCCTGAGCTCATACTGGAAGCATCTGTACGTGAGGGGCATGAATTCAGATCTCTCTCCAGTGCCTGTTTTCCAGCAACCTCTATACACAAAGTACCTTTGAGATTCTACCTGTCACGTTAGCCTTACCCTCTCGAGAAACCAAGCCAACACGAAGAAGCCTTTCCTAGGGAGTTCTCTAGGAGTAAAAGCAAAAAAAAAAAAAAAAGTTTCATGCCAGATCATCAAGAGAACTCCTGCAGCTTGTCAGGCTGTCTCACATTTTGTACTTCCCTGATTCAACAAGGTTAATTGCTGCCAAACCATCCTATCCTATGTAAAGCCAAGTGAAAACTGCAGAAGCTTTGAAACTTTTTGCTGAAGGATCAATCAGTATGGAATTCCCCTCCTCCCAGCCAGGTAGATGTGGTGCTGGCTTCTCAAGGAGAGAGCTTTCTGCATCCACCCTGCTGTGCTTAAAACCTCCTTTCTGCAGAGGTTCCACACAGCAGGCAGCCTCCTGACAGCAGAATCCTGCAAACATCTGCATTTACACGTGGTTTAAGGTTCTTGGTTGCTGTTCCTTGATAAAAAAAATAAAAATAAAAAAAGTATCTTCTGAGAGCAAGCTTAAAATGCAAGCCATGCCTCCTGCAAACTGTGTTCCACTCAATTCACAACCTTCTCAGCCTTCTCATGTTCACAGCAAAGGGATATCAAGGGAAGAGAAACAAAGCCTAAGATCCTGGGAAAGGAAAAGATCCTTTCTGGACATTCCCTTTGCTACTGAAATTGTTACATGAGAAAAATTAATTTAAAAAAGAATTGGGAAACCAGGACACATCAGCCTGCCAAAAGCACTCCTCTGCCTTCCTTCTCGAGGCCAATGTCCTTGGTTATTTCTCATTGCTGGGCTGCAAATACTTTAGTGAAACCTTTGGTTTACTGGCATTCATATGATTTTTTGCTCTGTAGCTGACAGGGAGCGAGCACTGGCAAGCCTAGCTCTAACCAGCTATGCTCACAGCAGCCCTGCGAGGCCAAGAGCACAGCCCAGCTCCTCGGGCTGTGCAGCTAGAACCATGCTCTGACAGAAGGTTTAATTGGGGAAACTCTGCAAAGATGTGCAAGGGTAAACATCGCTGGGATAAAGTAAGCCAGGAACAGAAAGCAGAAGTGACATCTCACGGTAACACAGGAAGGCAGTGAGTGGCAGGGTCTACAACCTCAGCGGCACCCCCAACACAAGGGGTACTGCTGAACTTCAGCAGGTCCTGGGCCAAATCCTTCCCCTTTGGTGAGGGACATCGAGGGAGAAAAGGGGATGTACTGACGTGTTGGTACAGAGTGAAAGAATGAAAAAATACAACAGTCTATTACCATGGCAAAAAGAACAACCCCACAGAAACCTGGTTTCAGATCTCTAACTTGGCCCAAATGAAAACAGCAAGCACAGCCCCTGCAGGACACACCGACTGTGGGAAGCTGCAACATCTAGAAAGGGAAACACAGCTCATCCCATTCCAATCCTCTCCACACACACACACAACAACCTCCAGAGAAAAGCCCAATGTCAACTTCACAATTTGTCTCCGCAGAAATGTCTATGAATCTCTGAGCAATTCAGATCCCTGAGCCCGCCTCCCTGCAGCCAATACCCTTTTTTCCCCGCTCTGAATCCCCGCTGAACCTGCTGGGGAAAAGCAAGGAGCTCGATCCCGGGACGGGGGGCTCCTGCTGCCAGCCAAGCATCAACAGCCCGGTCCATTTGCTTCATGAACTCAACCCACTGCTGGACTGTCCCAGAGGGAGTACCTGACACCAGGACCGCAGCAAGTCACCGAGATGTGATTTTATTTTGTTTAAAATAGAAATGTTTGTGCATGTGCAGATTTACACACCCAAGAATAGGACACTCTTCGAATAGGCTGAGAATTGTGTAAATGGGGGGGGGTGATTTTTAATGTTTTCCAAAATATAACATAAAAACTGAACGGAGAAACATAAATTCTTAATTGAGATTACAGACATAAAGGACAAAAACTTTCAAATCCTTATTGTCAAATACTTATTGGCAAAGTTAAAAGAGCATGCAAAGACTGGGCTCTCCAAGATACTACGACACTGGAGGCATTAAAATTTTACTCCGTTTTAAGTAGCTGAAAACCTATGAAAGGCTCTGAGCTCAAAGTCCAGGTCTGAAAATGCTTCAGGTAACAATAGGATGAACAAAGTCCAACTCACAGCCCAAATCTCCTAGCTGTTGAGAAGGACGATGTACAAGTTCGCAATAGTTGCAAGAGTTCTTTCAGCCAGGTACACTCCTCTCAACAGATGCATCAACTTATTGATACGTTTCACTAGACAACACGCAAATTTTGGCCAAGTATTACAATTTGAGGCTACATTTAAATGAAAAGAGGGGTTAAAAGGGTGCACCACCCCTTTGCAAACAGCACAGTCAACCATTCTGCCCCATATTTCCTGTTGAATCGAGAAAATGCCTTCCAAAAATAGCTTATAGTTTTGCTGAAAGGCTCAAAACAAACAGCACTTCTGAAAGAATATCTTACATGCTTTACATAATAGCCATCTCAGAAGGGAAAAAAGGATGTGTACAGCGTTTCAGTGTGAATTCTGCATTGAACAAAAAGACATCATTCTTTGCTTAACACAAGGCTTAAATTCACCATGAAGGAAATTGCCGAAGTCAAAGCCTTAGGGCCGAAGTTGGGAGGGAGATAGCACTCTGAAGGAAAGAATTTTTATCCTAAATTCGGACTGAAAGAGGCTACATCAAAGGAACACTGTCAGCTTGTTTAAGCCTCAATTTATTCTTGCCTCAAAAAGGAAAGTTCAAACTCATTTAGCTTCCCTTCAGAAAAATCCAGTATTTTTTTAAGTGCTTCGTCTGTTGTGCACCCAGACATACCTCTGCAGGTTTCTGCTTAGCCTTTTCTCTTTTTTAAAGACCTGGTCCTTATTTCTCAATGTGTGGTTTAACCTTCCTGATGAACAGCAGCACATATCTACAGTTTCAGATCAAATGCCACAGTACTAATTCCAGCATCATGCCATAACCACTGACATCTTCACTCCATGGTCTACTGTGCCTTTCCTCGTAAGTTGCAAGCTTGCATTAATGTGCTTGTCCTGGTGAGAGCCTGTCCCTTCAAGACAACTGTAAAATACCAAACGCTCCATAAAAGAGGACTCATTGGAGACGAAGTGCCAGCAGTATGAAGGAGCCAGTCAGATAAACCACGCAATGCCTTTTTGCTTCTTCTTTTTTTTGAAGAACCGAGAGAGCAAAGCTGCATCGTTTGTATTCGGATGGCAACAGCCAAAGGGCCTAGAATTTGCGTTGGCTTATAAGGCAAGCGCTTTGGGTTTTGTTTTCTTTTTCTCCTCAGAGGGAAACTCGCTGCGTGAAGCGACAAACAACCGACTCCACATCATGTGAGCCCCCTACAACCTGCAGCAAAGCTCTTAATTGCTATCGCTCCCATATCCCCTGATGGTGACTGGGGATGAGCAAGGACACGCGACGGACTTCCAGACTTTGTGGAAAACTCTTCCCTTGGGAAAAGCACCTGCGTGTGTGTTCAGACAGGAGGCAGGGGAAGGGCCCGCCAGCCACATCGATACACGCAGCAGGTTCAGCAGCAGGCCAGGAGCCCAGCCTGCACCACCTACCTCAGAATTAACCAAAAATATGGTTGCCATCTGGTGGCTAGAGCACATCAGTAGCCGCAAGGAGCTCGGGGCGAGCGGCTGCACACCGGGGGCCGGCTCTGCCGCCCTGTCACCCCCTGCAGCCGCAGCCCCGGCTGCTGGAGCAGGGCAGGCAGGGGGCAGCCGCCGGGGCTGCTCCTCGTCCCTTGCATTTTAGAAACCTTCCAGAGCACATCCCCAGCCCCAGCAAACCAGCCCAATTCCCTGGCGGCAGCAGCAGCACAGCGTTAGGCCCGGGAGGCTGCGCTCGCCCTTCACCCCGGCACCTTTCGGAGACCCCAGCCCTGCGGGGCGGCCAGCACAAATTCCCCCCGGCTGCCGACAGGGCAGGGGGCTGGAGGACAGCGAAAGGCTCCGGGAATCCCAATCCCACCCCGCAGCACCGCGCCACCGCCGAGCCTCCCCCTTTCACCTTCTCCTGCGCCCGGGTCAGCTTCTTCTGCACGTTGCTGGCGATCTTGCCGGCCGTCACCCCCTTGCTGCCCAGCTCGGCCATCTTGTGCTCCTCTCCCGGGCAGCCGGCGGCGAAGGGGGGGATAAAACCCGGCGGGAGACAATGGCCACGGCCGCCGCCGCCGCCGCCTTTTAAAGGGACCGAGCGCGGCCGCTCCGCGCCGCCTCAGCCCGCCCGCCCCGCCCCGCCACCCGGCCCCAGCGGCCCCCGCAAGGCCGCAGCCGGGCGTGGCGGGGGGCCCGGGTCCCCTCCGTGAGGGGAGAGCCCTCCGTAAAACCTCCAGCCCGAAAGGAGGGACCCTGAGGGGGCTGCAGCTGTGGCCGGTGCTGCACATCGGTCAGATTTGGGCTGACAGCCTCGTGAGGGATGGTGGCCGGGCATGGTGGTTCACGGCCACGCTGGGCTTCGATGCTTTTCAGATTGTACCTTTGAAAAACACAATGTGACAAATTGGTATTCGAGTGAATCAGCCCCCCTCCATGTAGAAAGCAAGCTGAAATTCCAGATTTCATCCTGTAATTTTGACTGTGCCTCACGTGACAGCTTACTGTTGGCCCCAGGTAACTGCATCACCTCCGCTTCTCTTTGAAAGCTGCAAATAATCAGTTGACCAGCTCGGTCACAGGCACATTAGGGTGGATAATTACTTTGCACAGAGCTTCCAATGTGCTGCAGTCGCAGCTTTATGCTCATTTTTGGTTTTGTACAACGAACTGGATCCAACGTGCCTGCAGGTGACGGCTGCTCCCACTCAGGAGTCGCCACGCTGCTGGAGTGAAGCAGCACTGCAGAAGACATGGCAGTGCCAGGCACTCACCAGGAGAAATCCAGCCATGACTGCCCAGAGTGCCTCACTCAGCTGGGTTCCCCCGAAATCCTGGAACCTCAGCCTGTGTGGTGTTTTTCTTCAGCTGGGACTAAACTGCTCGCTATCCCCAACCCAGGTGTGTACACATCCTGCCTCTACCTGCAGCGAGCCCGCGCTTCCTGGCCACGTGCGCTGCAGCTGGTCCTGCCAGAGGGGCTTCAGTCTTCTCTCTCCTATACCCACTGAGCAAATAATGTCATGAAACACTGTTCCTTTACAAGATAGGACAAAGTTCCAAAGTTCTGTTTCCCGGAGCACAGGAAGCCACCTCAGCGCTCTTATTCAAATCCTCATGCTCAGCACCAAAGCTTCCTGCAGTTCCACACACTGCAGTGTGGTCAGGCAGTGGGGAAGCTTCCTTCCTCATCTGCTTCTGAACATTTATTTAATTTTGCCTGAGATGGCATCTACTTTGTGTACACCCAATAACCAGTACAGCATCAACCAAAGCAGTGCTCTAGAGACAATTTAGGTACCTAAGGAATTTGCATTTGTCCTTAAGATGGAGACTTGCATCTCTTACACCTATTCGAATTAAAAGATGGTAGTAAAACCTACCTGTATTCCAAGATGATTTCACAGTCTTAATTTTGCCAGATGAAAACAGTTATCTCTGGAGTTTCATATACACAGGGAACAGTGTAGCGGTCACTACTGCAATCTAAAGCAACAGAAAAATGTTGGCAGTGATTACTTGAGAGCTAGGCCAGATTTTTCATCTTACATTTCATTTATTGTTTCCCCTTTCTGCTCCAGTACTATTTCTGTTCATTGAGAACTTGAAATAAAAACGATTGTCTTGCCAGAGCCCTTAGAAACTGTGAGCAGAGAACCTGTCAGCACCTCTTTGTGAGGCTTCATGATATAATGCCTCTGCATTTCTTATCTCGTGTGACAATGGCATTTAAAAACAAAGAGTAATAATAATTTTAAAAAGCCCTAATTCAGAAACTTGCTTGAATCCATGCTGTACCTCAACTGTATTAGTAGGCATACTATTTAATATAAATATATAATATAAATATAAGTATTTAATAAAATACTTAGGCATGGTTCAGCTGTATATGCAAATAATGCAGTGATACAAGCTATATTCAGACTCAAGTGCCTACATGTACATACCTGTGATACCATGCTGCATTGCAAACTACAATTTTATTAAATTCCTTTCTGGCTTTGCATTTAATGTCCGTAATTGAGTCTGTTTTTCTGTAGATTGGCAATTGTGTATTTGGCCCAAATGCAACTTGTTTTGCCCACAATTTCAGCCTTACTATGTATCTTCATATTACTTTTCTTGTTTACTATTAGATAATAGTTTTGCAGCATCTCAGTATCACAGTATAATCTGGAAAAATAATTAATATGAGGTTTTCTTCATTTCTTGCTTCACACACATCCCCATCTCTTCCTCCTCCTCAACCAAACTTTTAAGAGAGAAAGATACACATGTGGTTAAATATTTGTGACATAAAGAATAAAAGAGCAGATGTTTCAGGGTCAGAACAGCATTCCTCTGCATCCTACCTCATACATTTGCTTCTCCTGCCTAGCTCTTTTCTTCAGTGAAACTGGTTTTGAAGGGATTTTTGTCTGATTACGTCTTTCAAGTGAAAAGAGAGGGAGATTGCAGCACATGAGCTGAGAAGAAAGTCCATGGCAAACATCAGAAAACTGTAAAACAGAGGTGACCAGACACCCATATAAAAGCTAAGATTATCAGCAAGCATCCACCATGAGTCATTTCCCAGTTGTTTCTGTGCTTGATTGGATCAGCACCAAAGCTGCAAAGCATTTGCCAGGCTCCAGGTGTGGCACAAAAGGCATTCCCCTGGCATGACCCAGTGAACATCACATACCATGACAGGCCAAACATTTGAATGAATTCCACATAAACTGTTTTAACCAGCTGATATTCCTCTGTGGACAGGAAAGGTTTCAGTCTCACATCTACCCACATTGTTCTGATCTCAATTTTACTAATACTGTTGGAGTTTTTTTATGTACACTTACAAATGTTAATAATTTCACATAATAAGAGACTGCATATAAAAATAAACATACTGATTAGGAACTTAATGCTTTTATTCGCATGAGCTTGTCACCGTGAGGCACAGCAGTCTAACTTTTTAGAAGACACTTTTAGTGGCTAATTGAATTTCTCAGTGACAGATTCTGTGCAAACTGAGTTTAAAAAAATAGAATTTGATACATCAGACTCCTGCAATGAGGCTCATTGGGTTCAATGCACACATTTATTGTAACACTATGACACAATTTTACCTAATTGTAACTGGCTAAACATGCCTAGTCTAAGCTAAACTGAGGTCACATAGGCTTCCTCTACAGCCAAAAGAAGTGAGTACCTGCAAAGCATGAGTCAACAAATAAAACAGCTTCTAGGAATGTCTCCCCTCCTCCTTAACTACAGAGGGAGATGAGATTAATACCTCAGATACCTGAAGTTATGAAATCCACTTGTAGTCCATCTCCCTGGTGACAGCATGATTCGTTTGCACAGTTCATAAGCAAGAAACAAGGATGTCAAACACAACAGCCCAAATGCACAAATTTACAGGGTATGCCTAACATTGCTTTTTTATTATGTTCTAAATTGATTAATACTCCAGTCATTAATGCTTATGTTATGTCTAAACCTCATAAGTGCATTTCACTTCAGTCGTCTCATTAAAGACAGATGAACTGCTCACCTGTTTACAATTAAGCATATTCTTAAATGCCTGTTGGTTTGGAGTCTATTATTTCATGGGTTAGATAAAATTTATTTCCTTCATTATACAAATTGTTACATCTCTCTCTCTCTCTCTTTATTCCTGTTTTTGCCAATTTGTCCATCTGGGAGCAGGATGTTTTTGTCAGGACTACTAATTTAAATTAGTATAAAATTTTAGTTTTTAAAGAGTGTTTTCAGTGGTATATCTTTATGTTCTCTGACTTGAACCTTTTAATTGCAGCTTGACAACCAAAATATGTCTTTTTCTGCTGCTGGTGGCAAAGTCTTTAATGTACGATACATTTCATTTAAATAAATGAATTTTTAAATGGCAATGGTACTGGCCTCTAACATTCATGCAACTAATGTATATATTCCCGGTTTCAATTAATCCAAAGAAGAGTAAAACCCAGTAAAATTGACTATTGTTTCTCTACATTAAGTTCTGATTTTAAGTTCATAATTGTTGTGGTTTTGAAATGTTTAGTAGAGTTCGGTTAAGTAAAAATGTTTGAATTCTTAAAATTGCTATTTTCATGCTAAACAGCACTATTTGCAATAAACTCTTCAGACAACTCTAAAACCCTACTCTCCAAGTACTAATATAATGCAAGATAGGTCTATTATAAATTGTGATTCCTTGTTTGTATTCAAAACCAAGACTCACATTCTTAAACTACCTGAGAGATTCTGGCTGCTTGGAGCCATAGGCCTGTCTCTACCTCTAGCCATAACAACAAAAGTCAGAAGGCCTAACTCATTGCTTTATGATGCCAGCTGAGGGATTAATCCAAGACATCAAGTCCAACACCTTGAAAAGAACAATTATCATAAAACATATTATTTAGCAACATCTAACCACATTAACGCAACCTTGCTTGCTCTAAACAGTATCTTCAGTTTTTAATTTCCATTTCCAGTAATACATTCTTCTGTGACAACATTCAGAAAGAACCAGCCAAGGGGATTTCTATCTTACCCTAAACAAATATTCTTATCAAGTTAAATGGAAATTCAGACATCAAATTCACCATTATCTAGTTTGTCTTAGCATTCCTTTCTGACTATATTCTCATGCAAACTCTTCCTTTGTTCTCTCGTAGAAAGGTGCTGGGAAGGATAAGGAAGTTTCTGCCATAATAATTTGAGATAAGACATTACTAATCACGTGTTCTACCCCTTAAAACAAAAACAAGATGAAAGTATTTTGATTTTAAAATGGTGTCTAGAAGCTGTTCTCTCTCCCACATAAATTCACAACTTCTGTTGTGCGTTTCTCCGCTGTCATGAAGATGAGAAACAGAAGATGATATATAAATGACTCTTTTTGTATCCAAAACACAAAAAAATCTACTACTACAGCATAGGGAAGGCTCCAAACTCTGCTCAGCTTTGCCAGTCTAGTTCAGACAATCCCACTCCCCTCAGAGAGGGTGGGAGGCAGGAAGTAAAACAGCACTAAAACTCTCATAACTCACTGAAGCCTGTCCCTTGATTACAAGCTTGCTAGAATTCCTGAGAATTGAGTGTTCATGATATATCTTGGACCTCAAAACTACAGCAGATTTTTCAGTGA